CCCCCCCCCCCCCCCCCCCCCCCCCCCCCCCCCCCCCCCCCCCCCCCCCCACCTGCCCAAACTTTCACGGAGATGTACGTGGTATTCAGAGGAAGGCTGATATTACACTTCCAGGGTCACACGTAGGCGAGAACACTTCCCTAAAATTTCAGCTTCCTGGTTTTTGTGGTTCTCGAACTGGAAGATGCGTAAAAAATGAACTCGGACACGGACACACACACAAAGACAGGCCTGTGACAATAAGCATTTTGGGCAGCTATTGCACAGCACAAAATGCATAAAAAATAGCAGGCGTCAATCACATGGACAAGTACGATTTCTCTTGGATCAGACTAATACATCACGCCAAAATGCCCAGCTCCAGTATTTTTTGAACATCACTTCCCACATTTGTTTATCTACTTTTTCAAGAAGTGTGCTCACTTTACCTACGCTAAGCAGCATGCTCCTTGGATCGCGTATCCCAGACAACATAAAACGCCAGCACACTTCTTCAGTACGTGTGCCAGTAGCCCAGGACACACAAAAGCAGTTCATTCACTCGGCTGAACAGAGTCATCCGGTACTCGGAAATGTCAAACAAGTGCACTACGAAGAAACCTCGGACAGTCACAGTAGCAACAACCACAAAACTAGCCGCTTCTTCTCCTGCATCCCCCATGCTGCCCGCTCCCGACGCTGTTGAGTGGAAGCAAGCTTACCATAATCATAACGCGATATTCCGTATGAGTAGCAAGCATCGACGATACATTTTTGTGCTCAGGCACGTGCGCCTGCATGTTCCAAGTGCTTGGCGTATCGAACAGTAAGCGTCCAAGCTCGCTTGTGCATAAGTCCTCGCTCATCAGCAACACATGCGTCGGCATCATCGGATATCAGCTGAAAGAAAGCATAACACACATGAAAAGCGACTGCCTGCACCGAGCTGTTGCGAAAACCCCGAGCCTTTAAAGGAAACTGGCAACGCCGTCCCACTACAAAACTGCGGCAATCCGCAATTTTCGGGACCAAAATATGGTCAGCTCAAAAAAACTAGCCGTCTCAAGTGGATTAGAAGGCAAGGCACGTGCAAGACTACTCGAAGCTAAATTCCGTTAGCCCGAGCCATTTGTATGTAACGAGCAAGAAGCGACAGTTGCTTGAAATAACGAAACCAATAATTGGCCAACGCACGGACTGCCCGTGCGAAGATGCGTTTCTTGCATAATTCCCTGCAGTTTTTGTCGCTACCGGCACCTGTTTTTCCGGCAAATGTTTCTAGCTAAACAAATTAAGACTGGCCGCTAGAACTGTCAGGAAACACATCCTTAAAATTGCAGCTTCCTAGCTTTCCTGGTTCCTGAGTTAGCAACTTACTCGAAAAGAATTTTCACGCACCCGCACGTGAATACCACGCGAGTAAGAGCTTCCGTCCCGGAGATGGAGGCCCGTACACGCATGTAAATTAAGTTCCCAAAGGTCCAGCCCCTCACCTTTTGTGGGTCTCGAGATGAAAAATCGGTAGATAAGCGCAGCGCACAAACATACATACATACATACATACACACACACATACACACACACACACACAGACAACTTGTCAATACGCGTTTTCTGCATTGCATAGTTGCAAAAAGCGCATAAAAAACCAGTGCAAAAGCAACAGCTTGATGTATTTACAGTTCGGTGATCAGATGACTGAATGTACTGCTAAACAATCCAAAAGCTTTGCTGAAAGAGCAGAAGTCTCAGGCGAAACGAGCAACAGTAAATTAAGCAGTTTTGCATTAATAACAACGCGCACCAGAACAGCCAGTGATATCATACGTCTTGTGTAATTCCGTACGCGGAATGACTGCCTGTTAATGATTTTCACTACTCTGCACTAAGGTATGTGCAAAAATATTTGAAATGCTAAAAAATTGTTAAAAATTCCACGCAACGCACGTCAAAATTGAAATTGAAACCTCGAAGGGTGGATATCCTTCCAAGATTTCAGTCTGTTAATTTTCTGGCTTCCGAATGATCTTTATCTTTGGGACGGAACTTTCACAGATCGTACGTGAGAACTCGGCATACTTAAAAACTGAGTTCGAGTTTGTGAAGCCCCTACCTAGGCAGGAAACATTCTCCAGGAATTTCAGCCTCCCAACTCTTTTGGCTACCGAGGTAATGATTTTTCTCGCCAAAAATTTCACGGAGAAGCTGAAAATTTGCGGAGCTGTACGTGAGCAAGGGATGCCACGTTAAAACTTTCGCTTTCTAGCTTTTGCATCTCACAAGACAATTTTCCTGCCAAAACTTTCATGATGCCATAAGTTGCACCTAGGGGTGCGTAAAGGCTGAATCCAAATTCGTGGGGGTCATACATCGATAGGGGACATCGCCCTCAAATTTAAGATTTCAAACTTCCGTGATTCTCAAGACAATAATTTTCTCCGCCGAAACATTCAGCCTTCCAGCGCGTCGTAAGTGATACCAGGACGCACGGGAACGCTGGATTTAAATTTGCGAAATTATATGTAGGCAGGACACACTACTGCAGACTTCCAGCTTCTTGGTTTCTATGGTTCCCGCGGTAACAATATACTCGCCAAAATTTTCACGCGGCCGTAGGTGATACCCGAGAGCGCGGGAACGCTGGATTTGGATTTCCAAGGTCGTACATGGGCAAGCGGTCACTATCCAAAAACTTCCGTTTCCTAGCTCCCGTGTTTCTCGGTGGTAATAATTTCACTCACCAAAACTTTTGTGGGACAGTGCGTGTTACCCGCAGGTACGGGGAGGCTGAATTTAAATATGAGAGGTCACACGTGGGTGGAGAACAGTACCATATATTTCCAGCTTCCAAGCTTTTGTGGTTCCAAAGTTGCGGTCAAGTTGCTGCGTACATATATATACATATATATATATATATGTAATATATATATACATATACATACATATATATATATGTATATATGTACATATATGTATATATATACATATATATATGTATATACATATATATATGTATACATATACATATATACATATATATATACGCAACCCCGTGACAATATGCGTTTTGTACAGCTGTTGCACAGCACAAAACGCATAATAAAATGAAACGGACCACTTCACAGCGCTCATTACCAGTACAGTTAATATGCAAAATAAATATGCGCACTCCAAAGACTATACGAAACGCACACCTGCAACCAGGCGTTTTGGCTACTAGCTGCTGGTTACATGGACGCATTAATCCAGTCTTTCGCCACCAAATAATGAAATTCCTGCTACGCTTTCGATTTACGGTGTTAAAATGTTATTAGGCCGAGGTCACAGTTGAAGATACCCAAAGACTGCCTGAGGACTCCGCTTCGCTCCTTTACTACTTAGTAACCGAGGCCGCAAACTGTAAACTGCTCAGTTGAAAAATCTTGACATTAGCCTAAGTATACAGCCAAATACGACTTGAAATAATCCATTCCTGTGCATCTCCAAATTCAAAGTGTAACAACAGTGGAAAATTCAAAGCGAATTTTAGAACCTAGGACAATATTCCTGGAATTTCGACATGCTGTAGTCTAGAAGTTGCGCACCTGAAATATGCTCCAGAAAAAAAAACACCGTAATGCATTTTTTGCATCTACGCATGCAGAAAACGCATACTGACGAGGGGTTATCTGTGTGTGCGCTGAGTATCTGTACCGATTTTTCATCTCCAGATCCACAAAAGCTACAGGGCTGAAATTTTGGGAAATTAATCTACATGCGTGTACGGTCCCTTTCCAAAACGGGCGCTCTCACTGGCGTGGTACCCACGTGCGAGACCACCAAAGTTCTTCTCGGGCAAGTTGTTAGCTCAGGAACCTGAAAAGCTAGAAGACTGGAATTGTAAGAGGATGTTCCCCGTACAAATAAATATTAATGAGTTCAAAACTAACCCTCGAGTATGCGTGGTACCCACGTACGGTCCGTCAAAGTTTCTTCCGGGTAACCTTCTAACTCTGGACCTAAGAAGCTAGAAGGCTGGGATCTTAAGATGTTCCACGTTCACGTAGGTCTTAATGAGTACAGACCCAGTCCGCCGGTATACGTGGTTCCTATGTACTGGCCCATTAAAGTTTTTTGCGGGTAATTTGCAAATTCGGAAAGCTAGAAAGCTGGAATTTTAAAGGGATGTTTTCTGATAGCCCTGGCGGCCAGTCTCAATTATCTTAACTAGAAGCATCTGCAGGGAAAATCGGTGCCGTTAGCAACAAAAACCTGCGGGGAACTATGCAAAAAACGCATCTTCGCACCGACAGTCGGTGCGCTGGCCATTTATTTATTCGTGCCAAAAGGCGTCATAAAAAGGATTCCCAGTCTTTCATACAAACTTCCGTGACCTGCAGCACTGAAACTCGCCCGCAATTTACTGAGAGGGAACTGAGAAAGATGTCATACATGCTGTATGGGAATCTTTCTCTGCGAGCATCACACCGTTTTCTGGCTCTCTGACGAGGATAATAAGAGCACTGAGATCGCCGTCCTATCAGACTGGTCCTCTCAGATTTGGCCTTGAACTCTCCGTGATCTCTGACCCCAATAAACGGGTATGTCTTCTGGCCAAAAACCTAACATGACTGTACATATAAATCCTGACGTTACGTTTTTCCCCAATTCTACAGCCCCGGGAACCTGCCATAGTAATACAGGTTCTCGGAACTAACAGATGAAATGGTCAGTGTGACGCTTCCAAGCAATGTAGCAAACTACAGCAACGTATGAAAACTAACACAATCAAAAGATACACTGAAAACGACGGAGAGAAAAAAAAGGTGCATGTGAGCACAACGGATGGTCGAATATCACAGGGAGATGTGAAGGCTAGGACCGGACAGGTACAGATCAACCAACACCGCGTGAACACAAAAGGCACATCAAAATTAAAAGTATGCTTTTTCAAGACAGATCACGCAGACTGATATGAGGCACAAATATTAACCAAAAAAACAAGACAATGATGAGACATCCATTAAATCAGTGAGGCACAACAGTACGATACATTTCATCGGGCACTGACAAGGTAGACAGCCGAAGAGATATGTAAAGCGCATATGCGCATGGAAAACATTACGCATTTAAAATAGTGAAGTGAACCACTGAAGTATATCAGATCAAAGAACTGGGCTGATCCTAAAAAGGTATGATTAAAAAAAAAAGCGAGAGGGGGAAATGAACAGTGCATATTAATAAAGCACATTTCAAATGAATCGAAATGCATGAAAGGAACTGCTGAGCTATTTCAGGGAGACGGAAGAGCTAAAACAGCATACAAGAAATCAGTAATAATAATTTAGATAAAGAAATTAGGGATGACCCAGGCTGGAAGGCGCCAGGCTTACCAGGGCGATCACACGTTTTTGCACCAAACCTAAAGTAATCAGGTCATGAGCTGTAATGATTGTTGTTTTACATTTGGCTTGTGTACTGAAAAATGTAAATCTTCGTAAATTTTACATAAAGGAAGATGAAAAATTTCCGCTGAACGGCTGTCCATTAAGATCACCTAGAAGTGAGCAATTTTTCCGCAAAAACTTTCTGGTGTTCGTACGTGAGAACAATGCATACATGGGGCTGAATCTGAAATCTTTAAACTGTGTTTGGGTAGGGGACATTCCGTTAAAATTTTAGCCTTCTGGCTTTTCTGGTTTGTGAGTTAGCAATTCTCCCGTCCAAAATTTCGGCGGGAAAATTGCTAACTCGGGAACCAGGAGGATTTTGGTAAATGGTAACCACACATATCTGGAAGTTGAATTTGAAATTTTTAAACTGCACGTGAACGAGGAACGTCCCCTAAAAAATCCAATTTCCTAGCTTTTCTGATTCTCGATTTAGCTATTTCCCATCAAACTTTCACATGCTCGTTCGCGGGATTCATTCACGCCTAATAGTTGATACCGTACTCCTAGAGTCGCACGTGGACAGAGGATCACTGACGAAATTTCAGCGTCGAAGCTTGCGTGGTTGCCGATTTGAAATACCTGAATAGACACACACACACGCACACACATACGCAAAATCACACACACACACAAAATGGATCCTCGCAACACGTATTTTCGCAATCGCATACATGCAACAACGCACAAAAATGTCAGCTCACAAGCCGGCGTACAACCGCACACACCTTCGTCCGGATCCCAAAATGGAGTGTCAGCCAAAAAAAATGCAGAAAGATGGTAATAACCGCCCTCCTGTCTCTGCTTCTTTCATTCTCTCTTCATGAACCTGCTTCACTGGGTCAGCAAACAACTACCCGCAGCTGACCTCGTCCGAGAAGGTCATAACAAGTGACCTCATAGGGGTCACTCCACCTTCAGATCTCACAACTGTCCACTTCCCCTCCACTGTTTCAGCAACTCCCCGCTTCCCCTGCTTCCATTCTCTTCCTCCTTTTGCTGCACACACCCACACAGCTCGAGCCCATCTACGGCCGATATCGAACGTACAGGCATTCCCAACTGCATCATTAGTAATAAATTACACATGAATGTTTACTGTATGAGGAAAGAGAGGCAGAAATATGGAGGGGTGCTGAAGTTAGCAAGCACTATCTGTCGATCTCACCAAATACGAGATCCAACGTCCCAATGACCGCGACCACATCCGAAATCAAGGCAAGATGGCAGATGTCATTGATTGCAGCCAAGTGCGGAAAACTGAAATGACGCTGATGAGTGGAAACAAGCATTACAGCTGCGCAGCCATCGCCACGCAGAGAGAACTGCACATCAGTACTGTATCAGTGACATACATACATACATGACCTTCTGCGACCAACAAAAAAAGATGGGTCTCTTTCGTCCCCGACGCAGAAGGGGTAGAATTAAGCAGCAGTATGACCCAGCCAGATGGCTATAGCGGTTTCCCGGTTTGATAGCACTGCCCAGTTCCCCTCTCAGCTTCAAGAGTTCGCTTGTCTCTAGCTCTACCGTAGTTTCGTCTTTCCGATGTAACTCTCATCAGTCTTTCTGCTTGAACTTGCACTCTAACACTGAGAGGAAAATGTATCGGACGACAACCGTTTAAAAAAGGTCTTCTCACGCAGTAAACGAAAGTTTACCGAAACTGAAGGCAGGTGAGAAGGAAACGGGGACGGGACTCTGTGCCTGGACTTTTGGAAGGCATAGTAAACCTGTGTGGAGCAAAAAACAATGCAGTACGTGTTAGCCTGAGCGTGGCTGCTTCTTAGCTTTTTCTCAGCTAAAACGCATGACTTACAAAAATCACTTCAAGTATGGAACTCCGCATCCTGTTGCTCCACTAAGAACACGACAGTAAAGCCGGAATTCGAAGCGACACTTTCGAACACCACCAACTTTTTAATGGATTACAGGACGTTCGACGATTACTCTTCTCGTTAAATGTTTAATATTTTGAAGCAGACAACAGCACAGCGGCATGAATGCATCACTCAAAAAGTCAAAAGCAAAGACTTTTCTGCACGACAACAGTACAGCGAAGAACCATTTGCTGGTTTAGCGCAGACGAAATTATTGATACGCGAACACCAGTTTGTAAAACGGGAAACGGCAAAAACTGCAACCCGGCTCGGTTCGGCTCGGCTGGTGATCGTTAGTGCTTGGGAAGCCCTCTGTGATCTCTAGCAACGGTGTTTCGTAGCGTCGCTCACTGGGATCGTTTGGCAGCCTGCCAGAAAAGCAGGGCAACGTTAACCAGGCCGCAGCGGCTGTATGGCCTGGGTGGTGAGCAGGGCAGCCGTGGTTGTGGGAGTGCGTGGAGGGGTGAGCGGCGATTAGTGGGTGCAAAAATGTCTTCTCCTCCCCTCTCTCTCTTCCTAATCATCAAATTTTCCCATTTCCCCTCCCTCTTGGTAGTGAGGACTGAGAGTAGTGGGCGACCAAACTCGCCCCGCCACTCAGTTCCCCTAAGCCGTACATCCCTCCCCTTCTGCTAGTGAGGACTGACAGCAGTGGGCAAACAACTCGCCCCCGCCACTCAGTCTGAGTGGACCGGTGAGACTGAGTTTTGTGTCCAAAAACTGGGCTTATATACGGGAAGAATGTGGGCGTAGCTAAGGTAGGAAGTGTACAGATGACCTCAAGGGGCTGCAAAATGCGCCTACCCTATAAGTTAGACATCACAAATGCGTAACCTGAAAAGCCATAAAAAACCTTTTCTTCTACCTTTTTTAACTTACGCTAGCACCACATTCAAACTACCGCCATCCGCCGTGGGGCAGCTCTACCCGTCTTCCGGAAGAAAAATTTTTTGCAGCTCGTGTGTGAGACGGGCCGAGCCGAGTCAAGCTGTGTTTTAGTAGCTCTTCGGGAAACAGGAATAAACAGTTGTATGCCTTTTCTACAGCATGGGGTGCGACTAATTATCGTTTAGCAGAGAGAACGTTGCAGTAAGGTAATCAAACTCAACTGCTGTTTCATCTCTGCGCCCTTATCGCAACCGCTCAGCTGGTATCTGATCCGATTTTTCCTATTTCGGGTCTTTCTTATCCATATAATTCCACAGTGTCTTTTAAGTGCATCCATCCAGTACAAAAGCAACCTGTGTTCTTTCAACACTGCACGGGCGCTATTCGGCAACTCAGGTTCCCCGGTTATCTTCAACTTCCACCAAAATATCAACACATTTTTCTTCCGTCATATCAAACCCAAACCGTGCACCTTATTGTAAACGTTCTGTAAATATCTAACAGCAGTCGTCCCTGGATCGCTAGGTTATCGCAAAACTGTTCAGCACGATACATCACCCTCCTATACAGCAGAGTTTCAAATATAATGAAATTATATGCTGTTAAATGAAGTCCAAATGTTCTTATATGCGTCACTTCTGTCATAATTTTGAGCATAATAAGCCCATTCGATAAATTTAGTTCTCCTAGCAAAAAGAAAAATGTTACCCGGGCGAACGAGCAAAGCATCGATAGGGTTTTGAATGGCCTTGAGAAACCAGATAAACACCGAATTCTCCTTTGGGGGCTTCAGTTGGGACGTAAGTGGCTCCAGGCGGCACTTGATATCCTTCGGTAAAAAACTTGAAGTGGTGTATTAACGATTCCATGCTTTTCTGAACAAAATTTTCAATCTCGTTAGCCGTAATATACAAACATCCCAGTTATGCGACTAATCGTGCGACAACAGGCTAGACAGTGCCGAGATACACTGGCGTGCAGAAACGGGCAACATTAAGCAGACCAAGAAGACACTGTGCCACATTTTTGTCCGACTAAGCTTAGATGGCACGAATTACTGTTAGTTTAACCAACAGCTACAAATGCAGTCACGCACGAAACGCAAGATGTAATGTCACACGATAGGGCGCGGGATACAATATAAAAGGGATGTCATATATTTATCTTTATAACGAGCTGGTCTTGGGCCCTCCCACATTTTATTATGCGTTTTGCGCTGTGTAACAGCAGCGCAAAACGCATATTGTCACAGGGTTGTCTGTGTGTATGTCCGAGATTTTGTCTCGCACTTTCAACTCGGCAACCACAAAAGCTATGCGGCTGAAATTTTAGTAGAGTGTTCCCCGTCAACGTGTAACCCCGCAAGTTTAAATTCAGGCTTCCTGTACACGCGGGTAACACGTACGGTCCCGTGAAATTTTTGGTGGAGAAAATTACCTCGGGAACCACGGAAGCTACGAAACTGAAATTTTGTGGATATGTCCTCTGCCCACGTGCGACCCAGAAAACTTAAATTCAACCTTCCCGTGCTCGCGGACTACCCCGTGAAATTTTAGCGGGAAGAATTATTATCTCGGGAATCACGAAAGCTAGGAAGCTAAAATTTTATGAGTATGTCCCCTGCCTACGTGCAACTCAGGAAATGTAAATTCAATTTTCCCGTGCGCTTGGGTATCACGTACTGTCCTACGAAAGCTTTGGCGGGAAAATTATCCCGGGAATCATAAAAGCTAGGGAACTAAAACTTAACAAGAATGTTTTCTTCCTACGTGCAAACTCATTGTAAGCGGATCCAGAGAGAGCTCCTGATAGAAGAACGAGCGACGCGGGATGGGGAAGAGTGAAGCTCCTGGAAGGAGGGGAGGCGACGAGGGGTGGGGGAGATGGAGACCCCGGCGAGGGACGACGACAGGTGGGGGAAACCCCTCCCACGAAGAAACTATGCAAAAACTAGGGAAAGAGTTGCATCGTTCCTATTTAGAGTTACTTTAGTTTTTATGCGTTTTTGCCGTACAGCGCTTGAGCGCTGCAACAGACAGCAAAAACGCATAACGCAACGACCCTATTAGTGTGTGTGTGTGTGTGTGTATGTATGTATGTATGTTTGTGTATGTGTGTTCGTCTGCCCGGGTATTTCAACTCACTAACCACGCAAGCTTTGAAGCTGAAATTTTGCCAATTTGTTCTCCAGCCAGACAACACCCCAGGACCGCGGTTCCAACCTTCACGCACGCCCGGGCCCCGCGTGCGAGAACGTGAAAGTTTTGGCGCGAGAATTACTAACCCCGGAACGGGAAAAGCTAGAAAGCTGAAAATTTAGTTTAGTTTTCCCTACTCATGTATGATCAAAAGATTTTAAATTTAGCTCCTTAAAACTGTCCAGTACTCATGTACGGACACGTGAAAATTTTGATGGGAAAACTGCTAATTCAAGAACGGGAAAAGCTGAAGGCTTTAATTTTAAGGGAATGTTTTGTGCTCATTTTAAACTTAACTCTTCTAGTGTGGCCTTTTCTGCGGACCGGCAACTTTCCATTTGTCGGGTCACTGAAGTCGACACCTACAACTGACATACCACATAG